TTATCTACAGATTCTCAAACTTTTTGGTAACCGGATGTGGATAGGAGATATTCCAACTTTTAATAAAATTATTCACCTTATAAGAAAAGAAGAGAAGAAGCATCAGAAACGCCGTTCACATTTGGTGTTTGCTGTTTCCTTTAGTAAAAAGTTATATGAATTTGTTGAGCTAACTGGCCTCGCTAGAGTTCTTTCTCTTTTAAAGTTCTGCTTCCATTTGAAAAATCAACAGTTTTTCATTTTATCTTTTTCATTCACTGTCCATGAAGGGACTGTAGAAGCAAAAGGATGAAAAAATAAAGACCGCGTGTTGGTCAAATTTTTGATTCATTGTTTCGTTCTTTTCCTCTGTTTTGAGAAATTTGTATCTTGATTGCCTCTGGTATGCTCTTCTCTTCTATTTTCCCCAGGGAAAACAAGAATCTGACAGGAACAGCTCGGTATGCCAGCGTCAACACACATCTCGGAGTTGGTAGGTGTATTTTTTTTAGATTGGCAAACTATTAGGGACGCAGCTAGCTTCAATATTACTTATAACTAATATATTGTTGTCCTTTTTCATTTTTCTGGCAGAGCAAAGCAGAAGAGATGATTTGGAATCTCTTGGTTATGTGCTTATGTATTTTCTTAGAGGAAGGTTGGACTTATATGTTTTCTTTAGCCATATTTCTGACCTTGTTCTATTTTTTGTTGTAAATTCTCGGGGTTTACTTGTTTTCTGAATTCGGATAATTTCTTCTTGGCTCAGCCTTCCATGGCAGGGACTGAAAGCTGGTACCAAGAAGCAGAAATATGATAAAATCAGTGAGAAAAAGATGTTAACACCAATAGAGGTACTTATTCCCTAAAATCAATACATCTTGGTGGTCTGTTACCTACTCACCATTTTTGAATTATCACTACATCCGTCATGTCAAAGCTGCGATCCTTCTTATTGAAGTGTGATCGAAACACGAAACTGTCCTGGGTTGGATCAATATGGGTCATGTCAAATGTATTTATTCTGGTGAATTGTACTGTTGTTTTTGTGGATAATATTCTGGCCTTAGTTTAGGCCATCTTGCCTCTGATGAGTAGCGCATGAGGTAATCCGGAGAAGACTCCATTTTTTCTCCATTACAGGTGCTGTGCAAATCATATCCATCTGAATTCATATCATACTTCCACTACTGCCGATCATTAAGATTTGAGGATAAACCTGACTATTCATATTTGAAGAGGCTTTTCAGAGACTTGTTTATTCGTGAAGGTAGTTTCTCTTGTTTTTTCTTTCTTTCTTTTATCTAAAATGGCTGTTTTGGTCCAAAACTTATCCCAGTTGTTAACTACCCCAACTTTAGACTTTAATAGATATGATGCGGGCTTTGTATCTTTAATTTTCATAGCGATCCAAAAAAAAATCTTTCTTTCGTTGGTGCAGGTTATCAATTTGACTATGTATTTGATTGGACAATTTTGAAGTATCCTCAGATCGGTGCCAGTTCTAGAGGACGAGTTAGTTTTGAAAACTTTATTTTGGTTGTTATCATTGAAACTGTTGCTTAATATTTTTTATGAACAGTAGTGTATGCATTGTCTTGCTTCCAGATTCCTAGTGGAAATGCCGGACTAAATGCTGGGCCATCTGCTGAAAGACCAGGAAGGACGTCAGGTATTATCTTTTAACTGAAGTGGAAATTTTTACTAGCTGGTTTTAGGAATTACTCAGCTAGCTTGATTATTGCATTCAGTTATTTCTTCAAGCAAGACAAATATCAAGATCATATCTTTCTATCTATGACAACAACAACATATCCAGTATCATCCCACATAGGGGAGAGTAGTGTGTCCGCAGACCTTACCCCTACCTTGTGGAGATAGAGAGGCTGTTTCCAACAGACCCTCGAAAAAATATCTCATATCTTTCTATCTATGAGACATCAAAAAAATGACAACAACTACTACTACTGCTATACCTTAATCCCAAACAAGTTGGGGTCATCTATATTAATCCTCATTGACCATGTTTCTCCCTAAGCTCAACTCATGTCATCATCATACCAAAAAAAAAACTGAAAAATAAGTTAAATATGTAGAAATAATAGTAGTAGTAGTAGTAGTAGTAGTAATAATAATAATAATAATAATATAAAAGTTCTCTATCAAAAAATAAAAGAGCACAAAAGAAGAAAATCTTTCTATATGTGAGTTTTTGTTGATTTTGAGTATCAGATTATTTGGAAAACGCATGCCCTTCCCTGAATTATGAGGATTCAGCTCTTGAACTTTTGCTAGCATCTGCTGCCTCTGCTTGTTTGTAAACTTGCAGCTTTTGGCAATTTATCATTCACTGACTCTTGTGATGTGTTAATTCTATAATCCAGTGGGGCAAGATATCCGAGACAGGTTTTCTGGCGCTGTTGAAGCATTTTCCAGAAGGAATACTTCTGCGGCTGGTAGGCATGGGGAACACTCCAGACATCGGACTTCAGAGGATGTACCTTCATCTAAAGACGTGGTATTGATCCCTCCTTTTTGCAACCCCCACCCCCCCCAAAAAAAAAAAGGAGAGAAGAAACAAAAAGAAAAATCCATTTTCTTTCAATCGGATAGGAGAGTTTTGTGATGTTCTGTAGATGCTTATTCCTTGTGGTTAATGCAATGACTTTGATAATTCTGAATCCTTGATATATTTCTGTATTTTATGTGATAGAAAATTTGCAGCATTGAGCTGACTAGGTAAAAAGCTGATGCATGCTAAGCTAGCAATCTTCTACTTTTATTTGTAGCAAGCTGATTCAGAAAGAGGCCGTACCTCGAGAAATGGCAGCTCTTCAAGAAGGGCTGCCATTTCAAGCAGCAGACCGGCCTCTACTGGTGAACCCACAGATAGTCGCTCAAGCAGATTAGTGTCAAGCACTGGCCGTCTATCTACCACACAACGAATTCAGCAGGGAATCGAACCAAAATCATCATTCGCCCGAACTTCAGTCACAAAGGGTACCCATGATAACCCTCTTCGGAGCTTTGAGTTTCTTTCTATCAGAAAGTAAGGGGATGCACTTATAAAGAGAAAATTTCCTGATTGTTTGAACATGCAATCCTATTTAAGGATGTCTCAAGTGCTGTAAATTGAAAATGTTCTACCTTCTATGTGACAATTAAAGCTGATCCAACTTCTCATATTCCTTGTTTTTGTTGTTAATAGAGTTCCTGGCGACCATAGCTCATTTAGACTCATCCAATGAAATGTCGAGTCAAGTGCAAGAGTTTTATATATATGAATGGGACGGGTAGCTTGATAAATATTGTTGTACGAATTGATGTAACTTTTACCTTATTCCTTATTGGAATGTCTAGTGGAGGAATTCTTTTCTGGGGTTTGAATGCATCTTTTTAGGTCAGCCTTGGAATATTTGATGGTCGGATTCCGCAAGTGGTTGTGATGATTAATATTTAGCAATGGGAAAGATTTTGCAATTGCCCTGGATTATGATATATATGTGTGCATTTTCACATTTGTTCTTGAACCTTGGTTTGGAAATCAGGAATAACATGCATATCCATTGATGACTGTCATAGTCTCCCTCCTTAATTTATTTCAGAGACATGCGAACGGAAGGCCAAATTCTTTGCTCCTTCTCTTGTGTTTTCCCTCGGCTAAATAAAGGAAAAGAATAGCGACTATCTTTCGTTTCTCGTTGAGTTTCCTCCTCATCCATTTCCCTTCTTGCTTCCTTTACATTGTGGTAGGAAATGAGTCGATGTAGAGTTTGCATGATGTCTTGATCTCTGTTTGGTTAAAGCTTCAGAATTCAACCATCCACTCCAAAAATCAAATTTACTTTCATTTCAAGACCAATATATCTCTAGTTTCAGTCCGAAGTTAATAATTTGTGGAAATATTCCAAACAGTACTATTGGAAGTACAAATAAACAGCAAAGATCCAAAATATTTTGCACATTACCCTATAAGGACTGAGTTGAAAAAAATGTAGAATTCTCAAGGACTCAACTTGTCCAACTGGATTAGCTAATGCATTGACAGAATAGGCAATGTTAATCATTTCTCATGATGCATGAGAAAATCTTTTATATAACATACCTAGTATAGTGTGGGGTCTGGGAGGGTAATATGTACTCATACCGGTAATATGTCATACCGATAATATGTACTCATACCTTACCCTACCTTACAGAGTAACACACTGTTTTCAATCTTTTACATGGTACTTATATAGGCAAGTTTGTCAGCGGGAATCCTTCAGTGGCAGATGGAATCATACATTTCGATGGCATTCTAAAGTTGCTATTGAAAAAAACCCTCCGAGCAAAATGTTAGTGTATGAAAAAATTGAGCAACATCTCATTACCTAAAATGATTTATCAAGCCGAGTAGAGTAGGGGTGTTCGTCGGTCGGTACGGTACGATATTTATACATTTCGGTTCGGTATTTTCGGAATTCGATTTCTTAAAATGCTATACCAATACCGTACCTAATTAAATTCGGTATGATTCGATTTTTCTCCTTTCGATTTATTCGGTTTGAATACTAAGTGCATAAAGTCATAGACTATAATATTCTTAATTAAAGTACTCAAAAGTACAAAACTAAAAACGTTTATTTACAAAAAATTTATCCAAAACCAACAAATATAACCTAGAGAGAGAAAAAACTACACATAAAGAAATCTTTAAATTTGACCATTAGAAATGTCTTTCTTATTTGCATAGAATTAATAGATAACTTAGAGAATAAAAAAAAGTAAAATTTTAGTTTTTTAAATTTATGTTATAATTAATAATGTGTTTTATGTAATATAATATATATTTCGATACAGTATCGATATTTCGGTATTTCATTTTAAAATACCAAATACCATATTTTTAAAAAACATACACCAAATACCATACCAAATACCAAAATAGCGAATACCAAATACAAAAAATTTCGGTTTAAGTACGATAATTCGGTATTTACCAAATTATGCACAGCCCTACAGCAGAGTGAGATCACGTATATGAAACGAAAACAATTTGAGCAACAAAATGAAGTGTCTGCGAAGAGAATGTTCACCATCATAATTCAAATTAAAACTATTGGGAAATTGATTTCTAGGAGTCTTCAATGACACCAAAGATGAAACCAAATGACTTGCCAGTAATGAACCAAAATCTAAAAGCAAAACACAACGACTTCCAAAACTCCTATCATACAAATCTCACTAATCAAAGAGTTCTTAAGCAGCGTCCTTCTTAAGCTTAGCAAGCTCCTGTCTTACAACTCCAGCCTTCTGCAATGTCAAAACAAATATATCAGCTTTGATATCAAATACAAATGAGACCTCACAAATATCATGCAAACAAAAAGGGGAGCCAGCTAAATTCTAACTAGCCACATGATCGACAGTTCTTTCAGGTATCGACATTTAACACGGTCAAGTACAGTTGAGAAAGGAATATTGGTCCATAATACAAATTTTAGGGCAAGATATTGTCATTTTGCTTTTTCAATTTAATGATGGCACCTTTTTCTGACCTTTTCAGGCAAACAATATCACTTTAGGGATTGGTAGATTGAATTGAGTCAAGCAAAATGAAGCTAAGTGAAAGACATAATCGGACCTTTATCTTTGCCAGCATGAGCTTGAACCTGTCAAAATCATTAAGCGAGGACCTCCTCTTCTGAACTATCAACTTTCTTCCCCAGGAACTGCTCTCCCATTTGCTCTTCACGTCTGGGAGAATAAAGATCAAATGAGTGGTCAATCTTCGTAGAACTAGCTGCTAACATCAATTGCTAATCTACATCTTCTAAAACGAAAAGAAAATCTCTTGAGCACTGTACTTACCAGCAGCCTCCATAGCTGCAACGAGGGTCTTCTTCTTTGGGATCCTTTTGATGTCAATTTTGATATCTGTGAGTGAAAGCCTCTTAAAATTAATCTGGCTCCTCACCATGTCAGGAGCATCAACAAGCGCCTGTCAATTGAGAAAAGATATAGAGTTATTACCACAAATTAGTTTAAAAAATCTTCATTTTCAACAGCTATTTTAACAGTCATTTAAGTAACTACCTACCGTCTAGCTTAAACTAATAAAGTCAACTAGGAAGTCACATAGCCTTTTGGATTGCTTTCGATCTACCAGAACATATCAGGCTATCTATCAATCAATTTCAATGTTTGTTCATTGTATTAAAAGGAGATATAGAGGGAATGAAACATCAGTAAAAACCTATATCAATTAGCTACAATGCAAACAAACACACGAATTAGAAAGAAAGCAAAAAGATTCTAGAAGAAAATAATGTGTCCCTTGATGCAAAAATAAGCCCTTTGTGCAGTTTCCTTGGGGAATACTGTCAATCGAAAAAATAGTTCAGTTGAGGAAAGTCAAATTATCTTTCTCATTGTAAGTCTGTTAATTACAGGGAATAGCTGACATTACAGTCAAGACCATTCATGGAGATTTCCGCAAGGCAGAAGAAGTAACTCCCAAAAACTTCACAAAGAACAAAGTTATTCTAGTCTATAAGGCACAGATGAGAATAATCCACGGAACCAATCCAAACTTGAAAAAAGAACACTGCAACCTATCAAGACAAATACTCACTAACTAAAAACCAAATAAAACGGGCAAGCAGATATACAGCTTTCTTAAAAACTACTTTTGTGGAAATATTACAACAAGGCCTCAGATCATGTTGCTCAATCAAATTTTATATGATCAGACAATGTAGGCATATTATCATGTTCCATCATAGGCCTTAAGCATATCTAACTAAGAAAAATGAATCAGCTCAATACACAATAACCTTTTTTTAATAACCAAAGTACTAATATTATACAATATCCTTTTCTGTCCCTGCCAGAAGGCATGGCAAACGGTTCCAGAGTACTCTGTTTCATTTTTCATGAATGTATTTAACTGAACACGGAGTTTAATATGTAGATTTGATTACTGAGAAATTATTAGAGTATAACAACTGCTCAGTGAAGCAAATTTACCCTATTTTGGTCAATGACATCGACGATAACAACGAGCTTCCCATAGTCCTCCCCGTAGTTGACAAGGGCGACTCTTCCGATCTCTACGAACCTCTTGAACGGCTACAGAAAGCAAAATCCAACACATTTTTACAAATCTCAACATAAAATCTCAGAGTACGGAAATGCATAACTGATTGAAGAGTGAATGCGTACCATTTTCGACGATTTGAGGAAGCAGCTGACCAGGCGCGAAGAGTTAGGCTAATGGTGTGTGATGTCCAGTGAGCATTAGGGTTTTCGAGGAGATGATATAGTACAAGGTTTTTCTGTATCTGGACCTGAAGTCACTACTTTGCATTTATATGGGCTTAGGCCCATTATATTATGATTTAGGATTTGCGCAACAATCGAAATTTATAAGCCAGTTTAATCAAAAATGGGTTGGATAAGCCCACTAACCAATATAATACTCCATCAAGGGAAATATACACAATATAGCCCCTAAAAAGTAATAGTCGCAAAATGTATATTTTTTATAAATTAATTGTTATGAAATATAACTCAAATTAACAATATAAAACAAGAAAAAAAAAGCTAAGAGATATAGAGAGAAAGGGAGAAGAGATTCATATTTCTTCTTCAATTGTGTGTATTTTCCTATCTATTACAAGGCCTTTATATAGGCATGAAAAGTGAAGAAAATATGTCATTGAATATGTCATTAAACATAGAAAATATGTCATTGAATATGTCATTAAGCATTTGAGATGAATATCATGGAGGAAGAGTAGACATCCACCATAATTTGATATTTCTTATAACACTTCCCCTTGGATGTCCATAGATAATGTGCTTCGTTAAAACCTTATTAGAGAAAAAAAATCCTAGTGAAGGAAAAAAGAGTACACATATTTTAAAATACGCTTTTTGGTTGCCTCATTAAAAACCTTGCAAGGAAAATCCAGTGGGACAAAACCTTGTAAGGGAAAAAGAGTACACCGCATATTAACTTCCTCCTGATGAGAGTATTAATTCATATCCTTGAGCCTTCGCATCCCAATCTTGTACACTAGTTTCTTGAAGGTTGACGTCGGTAGAGATTTGGTAAACAAATCAGCCATATTATCACTTGAACGGATCTGTTGCACATTGATATCACCATTCTTTTGAAGATCATGTGTGAAAAATAACTTGGGTGAAATGTGCTTTGTTCTATCTTCTTTTATGAATCCTTACTTCAATTGAGCTATGCATACTGCATTGTCTTCATACAAAATTGTGGGTAGTTTGTCACACTTCAAACCACATTTGTCTCGAATAAGGTGTATTACAGACCTCAGCCATACACATTCTTGATTTGCTTCATGAATAGCAATTATCTCAGCATGATTAGATGAAGTAGCCACAATTGATTGCTTAGTCGATCGCCAAGATATTGTAGTGCCTCCACATGTAAATACATAGCCTGTTTGAGATCGAGCCTTGTGTGGGTCAGATAAATACCCAGCATCGGCATAACCAACAAGATCGGGACTGCAATCATTGCCATAAAATAAACCCATATCGGTAGTCCCTTTTAGATACCGCAATATGTGTTTGATTCCATTCCAATGTCTCCTTGTAGGAGCAGAGCTATATCTTTCTAAGACATTAACTGAAAACGTTACGTCAGGCATTGTAGTGTTAGAAAGATACATTAGTGCACCAATTGCACTAAGATATGGTACTCCAAGACCAAGAAGCTCTTCATTCTTTTCTTGAGGTCGAAACGCGTTCTTATTCACATCAAGTGATCGAATAACCATCGGAGTACTTAATGGATGTGCTTCATCCATGTAAAATCGTTTCAATACCTTTTCTATGTAGGCAGATTGATGAACAGAAATTCCGTTTGCCAAATGTTCAATTTGCAAACCGAGACATAATTTTGTCTTTCCGAGATCTTTCATCTCGATTTCCTTCTTTAAATAATCAATTGCCTTTTGAAGTTCTGTAGGAGTTCCAATAAGATTTATGTCATCAATATATATGGCAAGTACAACAAACTCCGATGTTGTTTTCTTTATAAAAATACATGGACAAATGGAATCATTTATATAACCTTCCTTTAATAAATATTCACTAAGGCGGTTATATCACATTCTTCTTGATTGCTTTAGACCATACAAATATCTTTGCAATTTGATTGAAAATATTTTCCTGGACTTTAAATTATGTACGTCGAGCATTTTAAATCTCTCGGGAATTTTCATGTATATGTGATGACCCAAAAGGTCATCTTATATTTTAAAATTCGAATCTATGCTCTTAAACCTTAAAAATATTATTTTTACCCTCTTCGATTTGCGTGCACAGTCCGGGCATGTTTCCGGAAAGATTTTATGTTGAAAATTGATAAAAATAATAATTTATGCCTTAAAAGTTAATTTTAGTTGACTTCGGTCAACATTTTTGATAAACGGGTCCGGATCTATTTTTGACGGTCCTGGTGGATCCGTATCGAATTATGGGACCTGGGCGTATGTCCGGAATCGAATTCGGAGGTCCCTAGTTCGAGTTATGAATTTTTGATGAAAATTAAAAGTTTGAAAATTTATTATTTTTAAGAATTGGTTGATGTTTGGCCTTGTTGATACCGGGTCCGTATTTTTGATTCTGGAGCCCGATATAGGTCTAATATAATATTTATGACTTATCTGTGAAATTTGGTGAGAAACGGAGTTGATTTGACGTGATTCGGATATCCAGTTGAGAAGATAGAAATTTTAAGTGTTCTTGAAAATTTCATTTGATTTGGTGCTAAATTCGTAGTTTTAGATGTTATTTTGGCGATTTGATCACGCGAGCAAGTCCGTATGTTGTTTTTAGACTTGTGTGCATGTTTGGTTTGGAGCCCCGAGGGCTCGGGTGAGTTTCGGATAGGCTACGAGATGTTTTGGACTTAGAAAAATCTGGTATTTTTGTTGTATCTGGTGTTTGCTATGTTGTGCTTCGCGATCACATAGTCACTCTCGCGATCGCGAAGGGGAAACTGGGCTGGGGAGGATTTACTCTACGCGAACGGGAGACCATAGTCGCGAACGTGGAGCATTGGGGGGAGTTTCTCTATGCGAACACGACCAGTCTAACGCGAACGCGTAGCTTTAGCTAGGCTGGGCAGGAGACCTGGGGAAGCTCTACGCCAACGCGAGCCATTTCACGCGAACGCGAAGGCAAGACGGGCTAAGCCTTCGCGAACGCGTAAAGCCTCTCGCGATCGCGTAAGTCCTTAGGAGGCTGCTCTTCGCGAACACGGCAGTTTTCACGCGATCGCGATAAACACTATCGCCCAGCACTTAACAGAATCCAAACACGGGATTTTGCCAAAAAATTTATTTTTCTCAAAAACCAAATGGTGTGAGGCGATCTTTCAAGATCCATTTCTTCCCCAAAGTGTTGGTAAGTGATTCTAAACTATTTTCTTTCAATTACCTATTAGATTCATGAATTATCAACCTAAAATCTAGAGTTTTCATGGTAGAATTAGGGGTTAGGGTAGAAACTAGGAATTTCGGAAATTTGGGGATTTAGACCTCAATTTGAGGTCGAATTCTAAAACTAATTACATATTCGAGCTCGGGGGTGAATGGGTAAATGGATTTTGGTCTGAACCTCGGGTTTTGACCAAGCAGGCCCGGAGTCGATTTTTTGACTTTTTGGAGGAAAATTTGGGAAATTTAATTTATGCAATATAATTGATTTCTTTAGCAATATTTGACATTATTGAGTCATTTTTGAATAGATACGAGTGGTTTGGAGGTGAATTTCAAAGAAAAAATTGTGATTGAGAATTAAGTGGCCTTCGGAGCGAGGTAAGTGTTGTGTCTAACCCTGACTTAAGGGACTTAGGAACCTTAGATTACTTGCTAAGTGAAATTCATGTGAGCGGCGTATATATGAGGTGACGAGTACTTATGCGCCGCCAATTTACCAGTTTTTCATGTTTCTCTATTTTTCTTATATTGTCTCTTTCTTATGCCTAATTGCTACGTGTTATACTAGTGTTGTTCAATTTATCGTTCTTATCATGTTTATGGATTTTCTGGTGATAATTGAGTTTTTATTTCAAAGTTGAGATTGATATTATGGAACCAAATGTTGAAGTAAGTTTTGTACTTGTAATTCTATCTCCCTTTTGTTATTTATGCATTGCATTATGGTAAGTGAGAGTGTTAATGCACGAAGGGTGATGTCGTACCATATTGTGAGTGTTAATGCACGAAGAGTGATGTCGTGCCATATTGTGAGTGTTAATGCACGAAGGGTGATGTCGTGCCATATTGTGAGTGTTAATGCACGAAGGGTGATGCCGTGCCATATTGTGAGTGTTAATGCACGAAGGGTGATGCCGTGCCATATTGTGAGTGTTAATGCACGAAGGGTGATGCCGTGCCATATTGTGAGTGTTAATGCACGAAGGGTGATGCCGTGCCATATTGTGAGTGTTAATGCACGAAGGGTGATGCCGTGCCATATTGTGAGTGTTAATGCACGAAGGGTGATGCCGTGCCATATTGTGAGTGTTAATGCACGAAGGGTGATGCCGTGCCATATTGTGAGTGTTAATGCACGAAGGGTGATGCCGTGCCATATTGTGAGTGTTAATGCACGAAGGGTGATGCCGTGCCATGATATGAGAGTTAATGCACGAAGGGTGATGCCGTGCCGTTTCTATTGATTTTATGGTGAGATTGAGAGTAAAAGCACGAAGGGTGATGCCGTGTATTTTTCCTTTACTGTATTCACTATTCTTGTTGATTCTTTGTATGTTGACTGCTCCGGTTATTATTCTGTTGTATTTCTTTATCTCGTATTCCCCTCAACATGTTCCCCTCCCGTCATTTCCTATTTAGTTCTTCATTTCTGTTATTTGTATATACACTGTTAAATTATACAGGTTGATTTTAGGTGCATTGCCTTAGCCTCGTCACTATTTTATCGAGGTTAGGCTCGACACTTACCAGTACATGGGGTCGGTTGTACTGATACTGCACTCTGCACTTTCTGTGCAGATTTTGGTACCGGCTCGATTTGATCGAGATTTTTGCTATTGGTCCGTTGTCCGGAGACTCAAGGTAGATCTGTCAGCGTTCACAGACCTTGAAGTCCCCGTTTATCTTCTCCGTCCTACTGTTTCTTTCATTCAGACAATTGTATTTCTTTCAGACTAGTACTTGTAGAAAATTCTAGAATGCTCGTGAATTATAACTCCAGATCCGGGTGGTAGTAATTAATACAGTTTTATAATATTCCGCACTTATCATATTTCATCTTAGTTAATTATTATTATTTA